CACACCGAGATTTGAACTCGCGATCTCTCCTGTCAGGGCGAACGTCCTAACGGTTGAGCTACGAGCTCACAGTCTAGCTAGCCACAATACATGAAGGAAAATACTGACAGAGTATTGTTTTATGTTTTTGAAGACTCTGATTGAAAACCGAAATTTACTTGAGGAGGAGGAGGAGGAGGAAAAGAAGAGTTACCTTGTCCATAAAATGCTCCATTCGCCGCACCAGAGGGAGCAGGAAGGATGGATGATCGGCAACATAGCAGCCAGAACCAAACAGTTCTGTCAAGCGGACACTAGGAAGCCGAACCTCTGAGCTTCGGAGGAAGGAGACAGAGGCACTGGTCGTGGTAACTGCGCTGGAGGTGGAAGGGATTGGAGAATCTGGGGAGACACAAGAGATTATTTTTTGATGAGACTGTGCTGAAGACGCTGTTGTTTGAAATATTCTGAGTTGATTAATGCATCTAGGCATACTAACACTACCTATGGATGCTTCTGTTATAGAAGCCGTTTCAGCGTGTTATCCGAGGGATGACTTGTTAGCACGACAGTTCGACCGTCGCTCTCGACGATGTCCACCAGGCGCTTCAGCAGGCTGAATCAACGCGATGACTCCCGCGGGAGTGGTTAAAGTAGACTTGCGGAGAATTTACCCCACGCCCTGACCACTCTTACTCCTGAAACCGGTGTCAAGACAGAGTCGAGAAGACCGGAGATGAAAGAGGGTGCAGGCGGCTAGCGCGACCAACACTCAACACGCGTACCGACAACAAACTTTGCTAAGTAGGCTCCTGCCCGGAAGCGCCATAAAGGGCACAAAAAGTTATACATGTGCAAAAACCGACAGGGGTAGACCGCCACGAACTAGTTCCGAAACAGGCTAACTTTTGTGACGATTGAAATATAACGGGTGGGAATCTATAGACACTCACTATTGTTTGCCAAAATCATAAGAACAGCAAAATCCATCCGAGAAACGCTGTCGCCTTTTCTGTGTTGATTTGCTATTTTTAACTCTACAGCTCCTCAACCTGAGAACCACTTATTCGGAAGGGCCTCCTCCCATGTATCACCCCGATCTGTGCATTCTGCGGTTACCTATGATAAACGATTCTCGAAAAAATCCGAAACGTCAAACAAATAAAATGCTTACGTATGAACAGGAAAATCGGCATCCCGAGAAGTATAATTCGGTAGAAGAAGTTCCTTGGGAAAATGTTGTTTATTGAGTGAATTTTAAGAACGTGTCTGAACTCGCTGAAAGACACCTGAGGAAGCACCAAATCCAAGTGGCGCACAAACCGATCAATACTCTGCGAAATCAGCTTGTACACCCTAAGGACAGGGTTAGCTATTTGGACAGAAAGTAAGTCATTTACAAGATCCCTTGTAGCGGCTGCAATGCAGTTTATTGCGGACGGGCAGGAAGATCAGACTCTACCCGCTTACGTGAACATCAAAGAGCGGTGAAGGGGCGATATCACTCATCTGAAGTCGCCATGCATGCATTAGACACTGGACACCATTTTGCATGGGACGAAACTCGCATTGTTGGTTCTTGTTCATACAAGAAAGGCCGCGAATTCTTAGAATCCATCAACTCCGCCGTCGAATTGGACGCGATGTACACCAACCTGAGAGAAGCATGGAAGAGACGGCAGCCTACCCGGACTAGAGGAAGCCAAAACGAGCCACCGCCAACCA